GGCATGGTCTTTTTTTCTTTTCCGAGTCAGTTCAGATTCCTGAGGCCAGGTCTTTCCCAGGCTCTGAAGACATTTGTCAAACATCACTTGATGGAACACCTGATTAGCTACACTGCCTGCCCAGAAAAAAATACAAAACAAGTCAATATTTAAGTTTCAAAACAAAACTACAAAAACATGAACAGCATAACATAATGTAGCCATCTGCTCCACTAGTTTGCAGTCTGATGGTTAGAATACATGTACTATCCTGGTGCCTTGAGGTTCAGAAAGTGAAAAATCAGTATTTAAATTAACAAAATTCAGCTACATCTTCAGTTGGGCTACGTCTAGACTGGCATGATTTTCCACAAATGCTTTTAACGGAAAAGTTTTCTGCTAAAAGCATTTGCGGAAAAGAGCGTCTAATTTGGCACGGACGCTTTTCCACAAAAGCACTTTTTGCGGAAAAGCATCCGTGCCAATCTAGATGCGCTTTTGCGCAAAAAAGCCCCGATCACCATTTTCACAATCGGGACTTTTTTTGCGCAAAACAAAGCTGAGCTGTCTGCACTTGCCCTTTTGCTCAAAAGCTTTTGCCCAAATGGGAGCAGCATAGTATTTCCACAAGCAGCACTGATTTCTTACATGAGATCGTCAGTGTTCTTGCGGAAATTCAAGCGGCCAGTGTAGACAGCTGGCAAGTTTTTCCGCAAAAGCAGCTGATTTTGTGGAAAAACTTGCTAGTCTAGACACAGCCTTGGTATTAATAAAATAGAACAATAAGCCAATCTGGAATTTACTGTTATAAAAAACAAAAACATTTTGAACTAGAGTGCATAGGAGCCTTAATACACAAAAGGATGCTGCCATACATTCAGTCTACTAGAAAACTTCAATTACTCTCAATATTAATCAGATAATTTTGCTTCCAACAAAGCATTAGTGAGCAGAATCCTCACAATCCACAGAACAGATACCGCACAAGAACTGGCAATACAATCATCTCCTAGTGAAGTTCAATCTCCATGTCACATTCAAGTCTCTCTGCTAAAACTGCCAGTGATGGAGACAGACTGATGAAGATGTCTGACAATTAGGATATGGACTCAGAACATCACATATACAGGTTGAACTTCTATGGTATGGGACTCTCTGGTCCAGCAACATCTGTGGTCTGGCAGGCGGACCACAGACATTGCTAAATGAGAGAGCCCCAGCCTCAGAGGTTGCCAGCAGCTGAGAACTCAGCCAGTCTGGCAACCTGCAGGGTCAGTGGCCTGAAGGCAGTGAGCCTGACTAGCAAGCTGACAGCTAGAGCAGAACGGTGACTGGGGGGCGTAGCGCTCCACTGAGCGCAGCAGGCTAGCTGTGGCCCTACTGATGGGGAGTGGAGCTCTATCGGCCAGGCCGGGGGCAGGGAGCCAGCCAGAACATGGCTGAGGACCTGGACTGGAGCCCCACCAGCAGGCCAAGGGCAGCACACTGGCGGGGTTGGCAGCCAAGAGGTGAATCCCGGAAGAGATCCAGTCCTGACATTCCCGGTCCGACAACTCCCTTGTTCGGGACCACTCAGAACGGAGGATGCTGGATCAGGGCGGCCCAACATGTACCATCAAACTGCTAATATCATAGCAACTTTCCAGCACTGAATATCCACGCAGCTACAGAGGGGAACGGCTCAATAGCCATTGTCTATCCCACTTAACATTTTTATGAAAAAGGGACTGGTAAAAGCACGCTCAGACAGCTTGAGTCAAATTAACCACACTAGCAAGAACAGAAAGGAGGGATGCCTCTACTTACCAGGGATTTCAAGCAGTAAGAAATACAGCCCAGCAGCATGGAGACCATATAACCGCTGCTGCACATTAGACTTTTTATTCTGAGCCACTTGGACAAAGTGATACAATACAGCCACAAGAGCTTTGTGAGAGAGATTGTTCTCAGCAAAGAGGGTCCAGATATTCTGAGACAAAGCAGAAAACTGACAATGAGAACTATGTTAACTCACACATCAATTCCCCTCTGAGGCCACTTCCTATCATGGCCACTCAGATCAAAAAGGTACAAAGGGTTATGATGCTGGTTTCAATGAAAAACAGATACAGGCAGTCCCCGACTTACGCGGATCCGACTTATGTCGGATCCGCACTTACGAATGGGGCTTTTCTTGCCCCGGAGCTCACGGGCGGCGGGTCGCCACCCGTGTCCTCCGGGGCAAGAAAAGCTTCTCCCGGTCTCCCTGGTCTGCTGCGAGGGACTTCCCCTGCCTCCCTGCAAAACGGTGAAGAGTTCGCCCCTCGCTGCGCCGTTCTGCCCCTCTCCACTGGCAGACCCGTCACAGCCCCCCGACAGAGTACCTCCTGGTACTCCGGCATATCCGATAATCCGGCACCTTTGGAACCCAGGTGTATTGTATTTGTTAGTTATTACAGTGCCACGGGACTACTAGTCTGTAATGTAAAAAAATTATCAGCTACCATTAAGATTTTGAAAAAGGGCCCTTCTGTCCATTTGCCCCACACATATTAAATTGTTTTAAAAAGTATCCCTTATCAGATGTATATTATTTGAATAGTATTGTATAAAATATCAGTTACTGATTTGGAAGTCAAAATATTTAATTACTAAACTACTACAGAAAGATGGGGTGAGTATGAATAGTTAGAAAATATAACAGCTACATCTTTGCCACCAAATAAAGAGATGGATAATTTCCAACATACTTCAGTGGTCCCATAGTCCTCGGAAGCAAAAGAGTAGAGATACTTGTAAAGTTGTGTGAATGCATCAAGCCCATCTTCTGTGATCCCTTCTTCTATTCTGGAATCCAGGGGTTCTGTCTCAGTGAAGTCTAGTTCCCAGACTGTGTCAACCCAGGCTAGGAGACAAGGGGGGAGACACAGAACACATAGTAACTCAAAAAATACAAAACATACTACATTTATATAGAACTATTCATTTCAAGCACCTTGTAAGTGGTAGCTAAAAATATGAACAAGAATCACTTCATTTACCACTCAAAATGTGAATGAAGGAACGTGGCAGTTGTTGTTTATAAGTGTAAAACAGTTTAGGATAGGAGTACCTGCTCTTTGGGCTGCCATTAACACTGAAATGATTCTGAAAAAAATCCTTTAGAACAATCAATCATTTAAAGAAAAATCTCTCTTACTTTGACTTAAATGCATCTATTTAAACTTCAACACAGAATAAAGTCTTCCCCACACCAAATCCCACTCTTCCCCAAAAACATCCTTCCACACAAACCTCTCCTTGAACGTCTGTTAACTCAGGAACCTTACCAAATGGGAAGAAATCCTTCTTGATTAACCATTCATCAGGAAAGAAGCCAATTATTAGGGTAAAAAAAGGACAATACCTTAGATTACAGAAATATAGGGCTGGAAGGGGCCCTAAGAAGTCATCAAATCCATTCCCCAGCACTAAGGAAGGATCAAGTACACACAGACCATCCTTGACATGTGCTTGTCCAAATTGTGAAAACTTCCAATGATGGGGGTTCTACAACAAACTTTTCAAGTCTATTCCAGAGCTTAACAATACTTACAGTCAGAAACATACCCAATTTTTAACCTTTCCTCATATGTCAGGTTTCCTAAACTTATCATTTTTGTTGCTCTTCTCTGGCCTTTCATCTTTCTCTTGCTCCTAATATATTTAAAGAATATCTTTTTATTGCTTTATCTTTCTTGCTAGATGTAATGCATATGTGTTAGGCTTTCTGATTTTGTCCTTACATGCTTGTGCTATTCTTTTGTACTCCTCCTTCACAATTAAGCCAAGTTTCCACTTATTGTAGGACTCCTTTTTTATTTTTAGGTTATTAAAGAGTTCCTGATTGAGCCATATTGGCCTCTTATTATGATTCTTATATTTGCTTCACATCAAGATAGCTTGTAGGTGTGCCTTTCAATTGCTGAATAATTATTTCACCGAGGTATCATCTTCACACTCAATTTGTTCTCCTTATTCCTGACATTCTCAAGGATGTGGCTTTCCAAATATAAGCGACAGTACAATTAGACTTTTAATGACTAAAATAAAGATGATATAATTCAGATTGACAGGATGAAAATCTGTCCTTGTCTACACCTTTATAATATGTAGCTGGTATCATGAGCTTTCGTGGGTACAGCCCACTTCTTCAAATGACCGGAGTTCAGCTATCCCTGAACCTTTATAATAGTTTGTGAAAACCGTCCCCAGCAGACCACAGGCTCCCGGACTGAAGCCGCAGCCGCGGCGGGGTCCCGCGCCTCTGAGGCTTTGCTCTGGCAAAGCCTCAGAAGTGTGGGAACCCGCCGCGGCTGTGGCGTCTACTGGAGACGGTCTCCAGCAGACCAGGGGCACCAGAGCAGCTTCCGAACGGGGCTCTCTCGCCCCGGAGCTCGC